CCTGCCTGCAACTGCTGCCTGCTGCCCCTGGTCCCCAAAGCCCCTGCCCACAACCCCTGCCCGCAGCCACAGCTCTCAGGAGGGTTGTGCAGCCCTCGCAGCTGGCAGCAGCCCAAGTGGATCCATGCCCAAATGCCATGGCAGGCAGGCAATGCCAGCACTAATTAAGACTGTTGGGCCTAAGTCTTGACATCAGGCTGGTCATTACGCCCCTAAGCCAGATGCGGGTGGGCACAGGTGCACGATGTTGGCACAGCATCTCCAGGAAGCACGTGCCTTCATGCCAGCTGCCTCCCACGTGTGGTGTGGACAAACACTTGAGCGTAGGGCACTCTGCAGCAGAAACCACAAGATTCTGATTTAATGTTTGTTTTTCAAGCCTTCTGTACCGCTTTCGCCTTAGTGGAGATTGAGAAACCCTCTTCTGATGACGAGTCCTGCTGGTAGAAGCGACAGGCAACCCCGGAATAAGAGTTTGGTTTCTGTAGAGATGAACCTTGTGATAAATAGAGAGACATGCTTTCTAATTTGGCATTTTGTGACGTTGATGGATGCTCTAAGATAAACCATTTGCCAGGAATTGTCATCCCAGTGCTCGCCTTCCCCACGACAGTTACTGGCTAGGAAGACTGACTGACCAGAAATGCTAAAATCCTCTGTTTTGCATCTTTAGAGCAAATGGCTGCAAACCTTGTCCGTGCAGCCTTCCCTGCCCAGGGCCCACGCCAGCTCGGTGCTGACACACCTCCTGCCCACGCCTCTGCTGCAGCCTCTTTCTCCTTTCAGATCACCGTCCAAGCTGTGACCCACTTTGGTCTTGCTTTGAAGGAGATGGAAAGCGGCGGGGACGCAGTGGGGACAGATGTGGTTGCATCAGCGGGAGTTTTCTGCAGGCTGCGGTGTGGAAGGTATGCCCTGATCCCTGCTCTCAGTTCGGCACAGCTTTGGGGGAGACACATAAAACCTGTCATCTCCCTGAGGGATGCAGAAACATCTGCCGCAGCCACGTCTTCTCACAGAGCTGTTCGAATAACCGGCCCCAATGAGCTGATAACCTGCCATTTCAGCCCACTTTTTAATGTTCTTTCATGTGTTTTTAAGTAGAGGTTTACATAACCCTCTGCCAAGTCCTTCCCACATGCAGGGACTTAAATTCCGGAAGAGGAAATATTGTAAAGGAATACGTTACCTTGATAGGTTCAGCACCAAAACACCAAAGAAGAAACCCACCTCCCTCCTTCCTCCAGCCAGATTTTGTCTGGCTCGTATGCCATGCACATACTGTCAGTTTTTCTTAGGAACAGATAAAGGTATCATTCTTACCACGTCTCCGCAGCAGGAAACCTTTGTCCCGGTCCACAGAGCACTGGTGATATAGCAGCTGAGTGTTCGGGTTTTATTTCTCTCCTAGCTGACTGCATTGCAGTGCTACTGAGTTTGCAAGGTACCAGGATTGCTCCACACTCCTCCTTGCACCGCTAGAACCTACTTACCTCTTTTCCCTGGCAACTGGCAGGGAAGGGAAATGAGTATCAGAGCAAACAGGATGCAATAAACAATGCTGTTTTGTTCCTGATGCAATTCTTGATACTGAGACAAACACAGAAAATAAAGTTTCAGCCAGATTCCAAACTGAAGCTGGCTGCTGGCTTCTTTTTTTTCACGTACCTGTAAGAAGTGACTTGCTGCAGCACTTCTGCTGATAACACCTTGTCCTCAAAAAAGCAGCAGGGCTGACAGATCAGTGCCCGGTTTGTCTCCTGCCACCTTCCTGAAGTGACAGTAGCAGAAAGAGCTGTGAAAGCCCCTCGGTAGCAGTCCTAGGGCTGAAGAAATCAATACACACTGATTGACAAGCTCAATGATTTCACTTTCTCTGCTGAAGTATGACTTATAGCATCTCTTGCAACAACAAATTTCAGACTTTGGCTAGATCTCACACAAAGGGAACCGAAATCTTTATTTCAACAGCCGTGCCAACCAAATAAAAAAAAAACAAATGTGGTAACAGAGGAAGAAATGAGCTCTTTGCTAATTCCCTAGAGAGCACAAATGCGGTGAGACTGTGGCTTGGACTTGGTGCCGAACCTGAAATGGAGAGCGAAGCAGCGCGGTAGGGTGGTCACACTTTTCACCAGGGCCAGCTCCGCTCCTGAATGTGAGTTACTGGGATCAAATGTGCATCCACCTCCAGCAGAAAGGAGCGCCTTCGAGCCAGGTACGGGTGGTTTCAGAGCTCAGTCATGCCCCGAGCACAAAGGAGAAGTGCAGCAGAGGCTGTTCTCCCGTCCTGCACCACCAGTACTCTCTTTCCAGCCTTCCCTTTGCCTCACCAGAGCGCAGCTTCCCCTGCAGCCTTTGCCTATTGCAAAGCATGGTTCAGGCTGTCACCCGCATGCTGCAAGCACAGCGGCTTGTCCTGCTCCGCTGGCTGGATTGTCCAGTTCTTGACTTTTCTAGAAAGGGACAAGTTAGGTCTCTTTGGGTACTTACATGCCTTCTTTGCTTTTTCATCTCCTTCATAGCCTTTTATAGACAAACCTTGCGGGAAATGCTAAAGGATCAGAAGAATAGGACTGAGTAAATCTGGAATTGAGTCCGCTAGCAATCCCGTAGCACAAGGACTCAGCTTTCTGCCCCCACCCCAAGCATTTCTTTGGAGTGCTTGATGGGTTTTGTTGCCTGTATTCCCTTTCAAAAAACCTAAATAAAGTTATTACTGTATGAACCCACAGCAGTCTCTTGGGAAAGATTTCAGGACATTAGAGGCAGCATTTAACAAGACTTTCAACCATAAGATAAAACAAAAGGGGTAGAGACACCACAGTGCTGCTCTTCATTCCTCTGGGTTTAAAGAGCCACCGGTAGCAAGGCTGGCGGCATGGAAACCATCCCTACCACAAGTATTTTCACAAAAAGAAACAAACCCAAAGCATGGATTAATTCCTGGAGTCGCTGCTGACACTGCTGCCTTTTATCAGAAAAAGAAAGGTGGCATTCACTGGGGCTGGGCCATTGCTTTCTGTATGCACCGCTAACCAGTAGAGTAACAGGGCATCAGTCTGTTTATTGTGATCTGCTTTATCTCCCAGTATAGCCACCAGACCTCAGAAGTTAGATTTCGTGCTGTATCCAAAGCACAGCTAGCCTGGTCTGGCTGCTCTCCGCCTGACAAGAGGATGAAATAAAATAGCGACCAAGCATTTAGCCGTTCCAGGACCTTCAGCTCTTTCCTGGCTCACCTTAGACGCAGCTGATTTTGCAGGCTGACCGCCACATGTGATCACAGACACATCCAACGAGCTGCAAAGGTCAGTCCCGTGCATGCAGCCCCGTCTGGGAATGATGTGGGATCTGCCAAGTGCCTTCAGGACATCGGCTGGCCGTCAGCCCGCAGAGTGCATGGTCAGGGCACTCCCAGCCTTGGAGTCACTCCCAGTCAAGACCCCTTCCAAAACACAGCCACCGGCCCTAGAACCACAGCTGAAGGCTCCTGGAGCATCTGCACTGCTTGGGAGGCAACTGGGGCATCTGCACTGTACCCCAGCACCCCCAAAACAAGCATTCTCGGAGGTAACTTGCTGCATTTATCTCCAACCTCGGCTGCTGAGGCAGCCTGGCTGGTGTTTTGGTTACAGGCAGGTCTAAGTTACACAACCTGGCCCACAACTTCTCTTTAAAGAAAAGAGACTTTGAGACGTCTTAATTACAAAATAACATTTAAAAGTTGTCAGGGTTTATTATCTTGTCACACACAGTAATGATTCACTTCACATGTTGTAACCAGAAGGTTAACAGTAGGCTGAGCCGTTCCCTTCCCCTCTGTACTGTACAGTGCCACAAGTACGGCCTTTGCAGTGGAATAAAAAACTTGCAGTATGTGGAAGGACATTACAATTAAAAAGTGGATTTTTTACCCAAGTGACCTGGAAAGCATTTCCTTCCAAGCGTCCTGCTGTTTTGGGTTGCTCTGCTCGGACATCGTTCCTCTGCTCGTACCTCTGCTTTTCAGTGGCAGAACTGAGATTTCCAGGCTCTGTTCCCGTGTCCACGGGGGACACCACAGACTGGCTTTTCACAACAGAGGAGGAACAGCATGACGTGACAGGTTTGCATGGATGGGCTGCCAGCGTGGTCCCTTTCCGCAGCACTTCAGTGTCGCTACTCGAGTGCACTAAAACCAAACAAAACCCCATGACGACACACAAGTTTTTATGGCGAGGAAGCTGAAGCTGAAAATACACACAGTGACTGACAAGCCCACGGTCTTGCTTTGTGGCTGCACGTTGCAGTGCCGTTGTGACCACATCTGACAAGTGTTCTGGCTGTTCAAAGAACTGCTGTAGCTGCAGGAGGCACCTATAGATTGGGCCTGGTTTGGGGAACTTTGTAGTGATTTTTCCTCCAGCTGATGAAGAGGATGTGGACCCTCACGGAGACCTCTACAGCGTAAGTACCTCAGGTGATTCTGCTTTCCAAAGCCTGGAACAAGCAAACAATTCAGTTTGCTGCTTCAAACCTTTCTTAAATTTGTCCATTGTCAAGTTATTTGTTGGGGCTGGGCTTCTGGGTTTTTTTTTTTGGTGGTTTTGTTTCGGTTTGTTTTTTTTTTAACTTGGGGCTTATTGCTATTCTATTCTCGATAGTGCGTAGCAGAAAGAGCTGAGATTTAACAGAACTAAAACTCTTTGGAACCTCAACAACAGGCTGTGTGTTATGGCTGATGTGCTTTCACAAACCCTTTCTTTCCAGTTTTTCCAGTATGGCCTGAATTCTGTGGACGGACTCTTTCCTGGCCTGCCGAACACTGTCCTGGCCACCAGTCTCGATAGAATCCAGTTCCAACAGCAGCTTGGTCAACATCTCCTCCAGAAGCCGGTAGGATTTATCTGTCTTTTTTCCTACAAATTCATCCACCTCTTGCTCCAGCTGTTCAGCCTCCCCCATAACGTGGAGGATTCTCTGAATCTCTGGCTGGATGGCTGCAGAATTTGTTGAAGGCTGGTCACCGGATTTAAAGCCAGCTACCCGGTTCCCAGCCAAAAGCTTCCGAGATGCAGTGTCATACATTTGGGGTTGTGCGCTGTACTGCACCTTGGGGTTTGGGGAGGATGGCTTGGCGTTGAGCGGAGCGGCTGGCTTGTGATCATTCACTGTCCCAGAGCGCTGGTGATTGACATCGGAATAGTAGTTGTGATGGTTTGCACTTTGCTCAGGTTTGTCGTAAGCAGTATCCTACAGTCAGAAGGAGAAGAAAATCTTTTAAGTGCATTTCCCTTAAAGACAGGGGTTTAATCTCTCATCTTGCACTCAAAAGGCAGGCAGGGCTGAGGGAACTGAGTGACGGGTAACATCATGACTGCTTTGAGGTGTGCATGCCTGGGAGGATAGGGCAGGCCGGGTTAGGCATGACGTTACCAGGGATCTGGGCAGTATCTTCTAGACTGTCACACACTGTGACGTCGTAAGACATCACGTCCCTGCGGGCCGGCACCCTGTGTCCCGCCAAGTGGGCTGGTTTCTGTGAGAAGTCTCAAAAAGAGACAGGGGACCCACGCTCCCGTCCCTGGCCGTTAAAGAGCTGATCCTCAGCAAGAGGCACGTGTCTGGAAGAAACGGCATGAGCCACTGAACACTCGTTACCTGTGAATAGGGGAGATGCTAAATAGATTTCAGCACAGTCCCATTTGGATATACCAGAGAAGATGCTTCGCTGCAGATAGCACGCTTTTGAGCTGTTCCCAAGTAACAGCAGCCCCCATCCCCAAATCCCCCCATCGGGCCTGCTGCTGCACATGCCAGCGCTGCTGCCTGGGGACCAAACCTCCAGAGACTCATTTGACTCCTGATCAAACCCAGAGAAAGCCGAGATGAACAGACCACACCAAACACATAATTTCCTTACATTTTTTGCTTAAAACATTCCTCAGTAGAGGATGACTGTGCTCAAAACAAACACGTGTAGAGGAATACGAGAGCCTGCTATACCAGAGTCTGCAAACTGACCTGCAGGCCAGTCCCACACCCTGTGCTGGAGGATTTCTGACAGCGTTCGCTGCTTGAGAGAGAAGAGTTGGACAAGCAAGACGAGGTCTGACCCATTTCAAGACCTGCCCTGGGATGTATCTGGTACCTCCAGTACCTTTCTGGAATTACAGCTATGAATTTTGGTCTTCTGTATGTGAATAGGAGATTTTGCTGGCAGTACTCTGGATACCTGCTGCTTTGTTTCTACCTAAACTAACCATACTCGGAGAAAGGGGCATTCCCAGGACACAGAGGCAGATTTTGAAGAAAGATCTATAATCTAGGAGGTCTGACCACAGCCAGGACCCAGCACGGGCACGCGCTGTAGAATCATCAACTGTACCTTTGAGTCCCACACGGGAGGGTGGGAAGGAGCTCCACTGCTAGTCCAGGATGGATGTGATTCGGAAACAAAGGGGTTCCCGTGCACTGGAGCAGCGGGCCACGTGTAATGCGGCTGCATCCCATAGACGGTCGGGGGAGCCCATGTGTCCTCCGAGGGTCTGAGCTGTGGTGGAGGCCCCTGCGCCGTGACCCCTGGATTGCTGTCTCCGTATGGATACTGCGGGATGAAATCTGCAAGAAGAGAGGGAAACAGGCATTAGCCCTGGAGTCACCCGAAGCACCGCTCCCTCCAGAGAGCCCTGGAAACTGCCACAGCATCAGGCTTGCTGCCCGATGCCTGCTTTCCTAGCCCACAAGCTTGGAGCCTCTCGAGAATGGGATGACCACCAGTTTTTACAAGAATAAAAGCAGGCAGGGCAAGCTGCTCAAGACACAAGAGGCATTAGGACCCACGGATCCATCAGAGGAGGCACTGCAGGCTTTCCCTCCGCTGCGGTCCCATAAAACAACTTCTTGTGCCCCAAGAACTGCAAACCCAGCAGCTGCTCCAATATTGGGGCTGGAAATTGCTCTGGCTGGTGCCTGGCCTCTTACCTGTGGTGGGGAATAGCCAGGAACCTGCTGCCTCCTGAGAGAGGACCCTTCGGCGGGGCAGTCCGGCGGGGTGTAGCTCCAGGGGGGAGCAGGTGACGGGGGCTGGTACATGCCCGTGGACTCCGCAGGGTAAGGGGTCCGCGAGGGCCCGGAGCAGTAGTACCCCCGTGTCTGCGGCAGGCTGGCATAGTGCGGAGCAGCACCGGGAGCCGGAGGGTACGGGGGGCTGTAGGCTCCATTTGTGTAGGGCGAATCCATTGCCTGGGGAGGAGGGAAGAGCAGAGGAAAGGTGATGGACTATGGACATGGGGCAGAGGGGCTCCAGTCTGGCCCAGCAGCAGCTCACAGAATGAGGACTGGCCATTCCTGCAGCATTTAACTAGGGGGTTCCTGCCTCCCCAGGCTGATTTGCCCCAGTTTTAGATTTTCCTGCTCTAACGTGGCTTTCTGTTAGCTACCGTCTGCCTCACACTTTGGTCCCACTGGCCTCACAGCACGCTCGGGGAGACAGGCAGCATCGGGGACATTACAGGGGGATAGATTTGTCTGGAGGGCGGGAAGAGAGGGGATACACTAAGCTTAACCATGCTTCACCCAGCTAAACTTGGCTCAGAAATAGGCGTACAATTCCTCACAGCAAGCACAGCTCTTAGGAGGTTCAGCCACATCAACGTAGTCACTGGTGAATGAAAAACACTCCGGTAAAGTTCCTTTCCTCTTTCAATCTGCAAACAGAAATGATGCAAGCGAACGAGAACTACCAGTTCTGAGGCCCAAGGAGCGGGTGTTCAGATCACCCGGCCGCAGGTCATGCTGCTGCCGGGTTTGAGAACTTGTCGTACGAAAGGTCTGTACGTCCAGAACATGTGAGAACTTATCTGAATACATTCAAGTAATCAATGTAAATTGAACATGAGCTTCCACCTAAGCACAGAGACAACAATTAAGCATCAGGATTTCAGGAGCTCACGGATGACTCCCTGTAGCTTTGGGCAAAGCAGTTTTTTTGCCCGCGAACTGTTTCACGGAAGAGAGATTGTATCACCTGCGTGCTGGGATTTATGAAAGAGCTGGATCAAACCTACACATCCCATAGGATTAAAACAAACCACAGTTACGTCTGGACAGCAGACAACCTCTTTGGAAAGAGTAAAGCCTTTCTCTTCGCACAGTATTTACGCAACGGCCCCTAAAAAAAGCTATTGCTGCAATAAAACCAACAAATAATGGATCTGGGAAGCGCAAGTCATGGGACTGGGGCACAACGGGACTGGCAATGGTTTCTTTCCCCCCCCTTGTTGGCCCCAGGCTGCCGCCCTGGCGCTACCGGCTCCTTTCCACTGGTGGGGTCTGTCATATAAATGCCACCGGTTGTGTGGCTGGCATCTTTACTCGGCCGTGCCTTGAAAGAGGGGGACGTGGCAGGGATCGGATCCTCAAGGCCCACGCTCACACCGGGGAAGAAGCAGTTCTGTCTGTCGGTGAAGGGCTGACTAGCCGGGACTGGGACACATCCTTGCCGGCGATGCCCAGCTCTCTCACCAGTCATCTTGGCAGCAAACCAACCAAGAGTGGTGGCATTTCCCCGGTGATCTCTTCATTAAAATACATGCCCTAAAAATGTCACCTTGAACTGGATATGAAGGTAAAACTTTACCACGTTCATCATTTTCTGTATTTTTCTCCAGTTACAACACCTGCCTCAACCCCGTGGGA